CACACACACACACCACTCTCTCTCTCTCTCTCTCTCTCTCTCTCTCTCTCTCTCTCTCATAAATAAATAAATAAATAAAATTTAAAAAACAAACAAACAAACAAACAAAAACAAAAAAACAGGTCCAAGGATCAAGGGAAGAGATTAGAAGATGCAGAAATAACTCTAGATATACTTAACCATCTTATCTTTGACAAAGGTGTCAAACACATTAACTGCAGAAAGGCTTTTTAATAAATGATGTTGAAAAAACTGCCTTTCCACATGCTGAAGATTAAACCCATATCTTTCACTGTACACTAAAGGCAAAATGGATCAAAGATCTAAATATTAAAACAGAAACATCAAATCTTCTGGAAGAAAGAATAGTACTTTCAGACAAAGGTATCTCACGTTTCTGCTTCATGAATTCTTCTAAGATTCCAGATAACTTTTTTAGATGGGATAAAAGAGCCACACTGGATTTGGCCATTCACATGTAAGACATGTTCAAAAGTGCATTGAATGCTGCTGTTGAGTCTTAAGTGCCATCCAAAGGAAAAAGGGGGATTCCTCAATACAGGATTGGAATCTTAGGAACACTGAAAAGTTCTTAATGAGTCGGCGTCAGTAGGTTGTAAGCTACAGTTGAGAGAAGGTGTTTTCAACACTGCTGCAAATGGATCATGAACAACGCATTAATGTGGAATTTTGTTTCAGACTGCAAAAAACAGCTAAAGAAACACATGAAATGTTAAAATTAGTGTATGGTGATAGTGCAGTGACCATGGAGACAGTTTGCGAGTGGTTTGAGCAATTTCGTAATGGTTTCGAGTCAGTTGAAGACAGAAAAAATGTCCTTCATCAAAAACCAAAAAAAAGATTGAAAGAATAAATGAAATAATTGGATCAACAGAAAAGTGACTCTAAGGCATATTTCAGAGTATATGAAGGTCAGTTCCATTTAAAGCATTTTAATAGAGGGGAAAATGAGCTGGGTGTCGATTGTTCCATATGTTTGGCTGCTGAACAAATGCAACATCCATTTGTAATTTTCTTTGGAGCTGTGCACTTGTGCCACTTCTGATTTTAGCAAATGTCATCGGGGGCAGAAACTTGGGTCTGTGATTATGATGCTGAGCCCAAGGTTCAGAGTTCTCAGTGGAAATCACCCAGCTGGCCTTGTGACAGGAAAGTAAATCAGTCAAGATCCAACATCAGGTGGTACTGTGTTTTTTGACCTTGATGGAACTGTGGGAGTTGAGTTTTTAGCCAGAAAACCTGAATATTAGAAGAGCTTATAAGAGTATTTAAGAAATGATGTGTGAAGAAAGTAGCCTGAGAGATGGGCAGGGTGTTTTATCCTCCATTAGGACAACAGTCTGTGTCACACATCACTTGATAGCAGCAATTTCTGTTAAAAGGATTGTGTACCTTACTGGATCTGACACTGAAAATCTCGCTCTTTCACAAAGTCAAAATGACCATGCAGGGTAAACACTTTGAATAGATTCAGATTTTCAAGGTAGCCACCACAGCACAACTATAGACCCAAGGACTACCAGAACTGTTCATGGTCTCAGTGAGTTACCCATGCTGGGCTAGAACTTGGGATCCAACTGCCTCAGCCTCCCAGAGTGGAACTGCAGGCACGCACCATCATGTAGGACTCTGAAAAGTCTGCTATTCGAATGTCAAAAGACTGGAATGATCCAAGAATTAGATGTGTGCATTCTTTTGAACTGGGGATTGAACTCAGACCCTTGTCCTTGCCAGGGAAGCGCTTATTCCACTGAGCCATCTCCTGGGCCCCGATGTGTGTATTCTTGAGTCACCCCCAGGTACCTTAACCAGTGACAGCAGCTACTTATTAGCTCATGTCCGTTGACCTCTGTAAGGAATTTTAAGAAGGCACTGGGCATGAAGAGGTCATTTAAGGGTAGGAGTACAGCTCATGGCCTTGGTTTATCTCCGCCAGCACTCCAAAAAGGAAGTCCTACTAAGCTGAAATTTCTCAATGTATTTGACTTTTTCTTTGAGATAGGGTTTTGCTATGCATTTCAAGCTGACCTTGAACTCACAGTGATCCTCCTGCTACCATGTGCACTACCATGCATGACTTTCTATAGTACATGGGAAACTAGGGCAGTGGTTGCAAACCTGTGGCACATGTTCCTGCAGCAGGCTATATAATTGAAAGCTCTAAAAGGTTCCCATTACTGTTTTAGGGGTGTGGAGATGTGCTTCACATGGCTAGTGTGTTCATTAATCCTTCACCTCATTTTTGTTCTTTATGGCTGTGTGCCTGTTTATTCATCCTTTTTTAGGGAGCAGCTCAGCCCAGCCTGAAGGCAGGGCTGGTGCCACATGTGCCCGGCATCAAACTGCAGTCCCCTGTGCCTGCCTAAGCAGGTGCTTTAGACTGCTGAGCTATCTTGCCGGCCCATTTCCTCATCTTTGAAGTAGAAGCAGTTTTTCTTTTAAGGACTAGAAAATAAACCCAGGTCCTTTGCTCTGAGCTATAGCCTCATACTCAACCATTATCTTGCTTTGAGTTACGGTTTCACTAAGATGCCAGGGTTGGCTTGAACTTGTAACTCCTGCCTCAGCCTCCCAGGCTGCTGAGCTACTTCTTACTTCTCCTTCCCTTGAATCTAAAGTTCTCAGCTTGGGTCCTATAAGTTAAGTCACAGTGGAAACCTTGGGAAAGCCCTGCGCTGGCTACCACCATCTTTTCCACAAACAGAAGTGGCATTGTTTTACATTTTTGCACAGCTCATTTCTGGTTTAATAAAATTCTGCACCACTCACAAAAAAAAAAAAAGAAAGAATAGTAACTGGAACAAAATTATATCCTTAACCAATAAGAAACAATGTATGAATAAAGGTTATATCATCAAAGTCTCAAAAAAGACTGTTAAGATATTAAGACATCTGATGATTATAGAAGATCTGATGTAACCATAACACTGCATAACTATTAGCCTAAACATCAAAAACATACTTACCTGGGATGTTCTAGTATATTCTTCATATAGCCTATCATATTCTTTGCTTTTTTCCTGATACTGCGAATGGTACTCCTGTAGTTTTTTACCTACTGCGTCAATGTTATCTTCTTTTACCAACTGATCCTACACAGGTGAACAAAAGAAATGAGTGTTGACAATTCTGAGTCAGGTGAGTTTTTCCATGTCTTTTTCTTTATCATTCATTCATTTATGGATTCATTCATTCATTTTTGCAGTGCAAAGAATGGAACCTTCCACATGCCAGGCAAGCAACCTACCACCACTGAACTATATTCCCAGTGATGTCTGTCTTTTCTGCTATACTAGAGAGTAAACCCAGAGCTTTCCCAGAGAGAGGAGAGAGAGAGAGAGAGAGAGAGAGAGATTGAGACTGAGATTGGCTTTGGTTTAAATTGTATTTCAACTTAGAAATCTAAGATACTGTGTTAATATCAAGCATAAAAAGCATTAAATGCTTTTGGTAACAGATCAGATTTTAAATCACACAAAAATAATTAATACACCAAAAACTAAGAAGGTATAAATATAAAAGCTAAACAAATATTTTATATAAAGTTAATAAATATATGCAACAGGCTATTATGGAATGATAGCCACAAAGTTCCAAAAATATGCAAAATCTTTAGGAGAATATTAAGATAACTACAGTTCTTTTTCTAACCAACAAGCCTGATAAATAGTTAAATGTTGTTAAATAATGACTTGCTCAATAGCTATCAAGAACATCAGTAATCATACCTGTTGGTACCTGGACACTGGGTACATCAGCTTCACATCGAGCTTGGGGTTGTACTGAGCAAGAGATTCATGATGATAGTGGTTAATGAGCTCCACCACAGAATTAAAGGTCAGAGGATCAGAAAAGCCGTATTTACCATCCCGATGATAGATCTTTATTAACTTATTATTGCCTCCCTTCCTGTGAACAAGACAAAAACTGTATTTTTTCCCCATTGGTTCACATAAAAAACACATTTCACTATGTTAGTAAGACTCAAGGTAGTGAAGGTCATATGTAATTATGTGTGTGCAAGCCAGACATGGTGACACACACCTGTAATCCCAGGATTTGGATGGCAAAGGCAGGCTTGCTGTGAGTTCAAGGCTAGCCTGAATTATATAGTGAGACTTTATCAATTAATTCATTAAAAGTAAAAATTAAGTTATGTACCTGCAAGTATATATATATATTTCACAGAGCATAGATAAACTCTTCAAGACCCAAAATTAGGTGGTTTTAGTTTTTTTTTTTTTTTTTGGACAGGGTCTTACTGTATTTCAGGGTGGCCTTGAACTCACCATGTAGCCCAGGTTTGCCTCAAACTCAAAGCAATCCTCCTGCCTGTCTCCAAAGTGCTAGGATTACAGGGCACCACCTCACCCAGCCTGGCTCTATGTCTGAGGAGGAAGCACAAGCCTTATCTATTTAAGGGGAAAATAAACATTTGCCACTAAGCCAACAGTTCTCAAGACTTCATATATAAAAAATAAGTAAGCACTTTGAATGAGTTGTAGCTGAATAACTGAACTTGCACCTTACATTATTTTTTGTCTTTTATACTTGCTTAAATTCTTGGAAATGACTATTTATTTAGGTTATCACAATAAGTAAATGATTCAAGTCATTCCTCTACAAAGCAAAACTTTTGAAGAAGCATGCATATTAGATGGGTATAATGTGATGCTTAAGTAGTCCAAGCCACTTTATTTACTGAACCATATTTAAAGATAATTTATGGGGGGCCTGCCCCTTAGCTCAGTTCTTTAAGTGGCTGCTTCAACAAAGCAGTCAGGCTCAGCTTGCTGTGGTTCGATCCCCACAACTCATGCCAGCCAAAAACCTGCCCTGAAGGCATTCAGAGAAAAAAAAAAAAAATCCTTAAGGGGCTGGGAAGATGGCTCAGTGGAATAAGCGCTTCCCTGGAAAGTGCAAGGGCCTGAGTTCAATATCCGGTTCCGCCACCAAAAAAAAAAAAAAAAAGATAATTTATGACCAAAGTATACCATGGCAATGTTTTATAAGTTCCATAAGGCATAATCTAAAACCACAGCAGGTTGACTTACAATATCACAGTAAAATATTGCACCATTCCCATTGTGCATGAGTTCCCATTCTTGACTCTTCCTATAGCAGTATGCAGACTTAGTGGAAAATATGGCTCCATGCCTCTTTATGCCACACTATGTATCACACATGATAAATGAGACGCTCAGATTTGTGAAAGGACAAACACAATAGGTCTGAACCCCAGACTGGCTGAAATTAATGCTTCGAGGGCCAGCATTTATATGGATGACAAATTATTCCTATAAAATGTACACTGGAAGGATAACCTAATATATGTAGTGATTTCAGGTATGGATCGTCACTCATGATCTCATAAATGTAAGCTGATCTCTCTGAAAGTCAAAAGGCATTCATTCACTCATTCATTCAAAAAATGTGCTGAACGCCTACTATGTATTAGGATTTTACAAATCACTGTGGATACAAAGCAGATAAGGTCTACGCCCACAGGTAACTTGAGGAATGTGTAGCCATATTTCAGTTTATGAAAGACTTTAAAATTCCTTTAAAAATAAACAAGTTATATTAAATAGGTAAGTCCTGGGAGATGGATAAAGCAGAATAAAAATGAGAAATCGGTCTAACAGTGGAGGGAGTGCTATTTTATATATGTTGCTCAAAGAAAACTGCTATGCTTAGGTGATATAAGGGCAGAGTCCTAAGTACTGTGAGGAAGCTGGCAAAGCAGACAACTGAAGGAAAGGTTGTCTAGGTGTGGGGACAGCAAGTGTAAAGGTTCTGAGTTAGGTGCTTGCTGGGCATCACTGACAAACGGCAAAGAGGTCTTTAATGCTGGGGCGGAGTAAGCATGGGGTGAGCAGCAGGAACAAATAAGAGGAGCAAAAAACAGCTCAGACTGTGTAACAACAAGCTGCAGGCTGTTTTGAGGTTTTAACTTTTACTGAGTGAGATAGGAAGATAATGATGGTTTTGGCAAGATGATGTAATTCATCCTGTGGTTCAAAAGGTCCATTCCAGCTAGTGAGTTAGAATGTTCAAAATGGGCAGGGTAGAATTTAGGAGACTTATAATAACCGAGGCAAAAGAAGATGGTGTCCTGGACAATGGTGGAAGCAGTGGAAATACTAAGAAATGGTGGGATTCAATATATTTTGAAGACAGAACAGGATCTGCTGATGCTTCAATATGGAAAGGTGAGAAAGAAAGAAGACATAAAGATGATTTAAGATCTTAAGAACAGAACTGTCATTTACTGACATAAAGAATTTACATAAAAAGAAAACATTTAGCTGGGTGTGGTGGTTCACACCTGTAATCCCAGCAAGGGGGAAGCTGAAGCAGGAAGATTGCTATGAGTTTAAGGTCAGTCTGGGCTACTAGTATGTTCAAGGCCAACCTGAACTACAAAGCAAGACCCTGTCTCTAAAAACACTACTAAATAAATAATAAATGCAGAAGTTGAATCCTCTAGATACTACTTAAAAATGATAATAGCTAGACAAATGAAGAGTTACGTACAATCTAGGCCTCAGGGTATATCTATGCTTAATGGTTGGAGATATGAGAAAGCAAAAGAAACCAAGAGAGCAATTAGTGAAGAGGAAAATCAAGCTATTTTATAACAAATCAATCTTTAAAAAAAAAGCACTTCAGCAAAGGGTAATCAACAGGTCACTGGGTTTGGCAAAGCAGAGATCACTAAGTAACCATAACTAAATGGCTTTCCAGGTGCCGTGGAGATGGCTCAGTAGAATAAGCGTTTCCCTGGCAAGCACAAGGGCCTGAGTTCAATCCCTGGTTCTGCCAAAAAAAAAAAAAAAGAAAAAAGAAAAAACTAAATGGCTTTCCAGTGAAATGATAAAAATGAAAGCCTGACTGAAATGGATTCAAGAAAAGGAAGACTCACTTTCCATAGACAACTATCTTGAGTAATTTTACTAATGGTGGACCATGGGACTCTAAACACAGGAGTACAGAGGTAAAGAGGTAAAGGAATTACCCTCTCTCTAATCTTTCTTAAGAGAAGAATCAGAACCTTCCTTCTTATATTCTAGCACCTGGCCCAATGACAGCAGATTCTTAAAGATTTATTAGATATCTAGATTTTCTATAATAGCTATTTATTGCATTAAAAATAATGGCTATTGAAAACTAAAAACCAGCTGGGCATGGTGGTGCACACTTGTAATCTCAGCACTCGGGAGGCTAAGGCAGGAGGACCACTGCAAGTTCAAGACCAGCCTGGGCTACAAAGTGAGCTCAGGGGCTCCCTGAACTCCATAGGAAGACCCTGTCTCAAAAAGTGAGAACTAGGGGCCGAGGCGCTGGCTCAGTGGAATAAGCGCAAGTGCAATGGCCTGAGTTCAATCCC